ATATCAGTATCCCTTTCTTGAATATCTCAGTATGCATATCATTATCTAGACATCAATATTTGTTCATAGGTTTCTCCTTCTGATGTAAACCTTAGATGCAATTAAATGCACAAATCTTGAGTGTACAGTGTTTTTGAAAAAGGCATGTTTCTGTGTACAAAACCAAACTCTACAAAACATAGACCATTACCACCTCTCCAGAAAGTACATTGCTTTTGAATATAAGACACTTTAGCTATCTTGTTAACCTCAAAGAATTATGCATTGATTGAAATTTACATTAGAAATACATGGGAAATAAATGAATTAAGTGGCTTTGACATTCTTACCATGAGAAGTGGAGACAACAGGGAATTGAGGTTTTATTACAAAGAGGAGACCATGTACAAAAATCTGAGTAGGTAAGAAAATCATTCATCTAAGAGCCAGCAGGGTAGTAACCAAATATTGTAGTAAGGGATCATTTTAAGCCCAGGGCTGAGAAGTCAAAGAACATGAAATCACTGTATATGTTTGTGCACTAAATGACAAAATACATTCATATGCATGTGTATGTACTCAATACCCATATCTCTCATTTAAAAAGTACATATTTTGATTTTTATTAAGGAACAAATTTAGGTAAAGTTTATCAAGCAAAAGTAATACTAAGATGAAAGATATACAACTTTTCTGTTAGATGATGTAACACTATTAATATGGGAACATAAATTATTTGGTGATGTTGAGCCAAGAAACACAAAACAAACAAGCAAACAAAAAAAGATTTGAAAAAAAAAAAAAGTTGAAAAACATGTTTTCCTGTTTTCCAGTGTTCTACACCTCTGACTGTGTCATCCTGAAATAAGCTGAAATGTTGAAAGTCAGGAAATGCAAAGGTTTGAAAGTTTCAGGTTAGTAGGCTAGCCAATTGTAGAAAACATTGAAACAAAAGGTAAGCAGAATATAACATGGGTGTGCAGATCAAATACCAGTTAGGGCAGTTCTTCTCATGTAGCTGCAATAGGTGCTGTTGGAATCCCTACCAGAGAAAACTGGAAGCAGAGTACATATCTAGGTTCAAGGTCATTAATAGATAAATTAACAACTTGTATATATTAGTATGTCAGAAGAAGTGTCATTCTGTATTCACTATTATAATTGCTATGCATAAAAACAGCAAGACTGATAGCAAATTTTAATATGGCAAAAAGTAGTTGGTAAATTACAATAAGTAAAATGAGATGCTGATCTTTGCTTGTGTGATATTCTTGTCACTTAATACACTTCAGTATAATCATACAAATTAAACCCAAAAGATGGAATGCCTTCACTCATGTAACATGCCCTATAAACCACATACTTAGAGATTTATATAGATACACAATTTGAGTCTGCTGCTTGAAATAATCTATTTTTAATTTATTCCTGATATTTCGAAATCTCATGCCTAGCCTACTGAATTTCTATACCTTCATGAAATTTCCAAGATGACTTGAGGAATCTTTTTTTTTTTTGCTGACCCACCAGTTCCTAACAGGTGGACATTTCCCCACTCATACCCCAAATTTCTTCCTGCTGTTTGCAAGGAGACCCACTTGCCTCTCACATTTGGAATCTACTTCCCACATTCAGAAATTATTGACTTAAACTTGCTTCATAAGTGTATCCCATTGATTCCCCCAAGATCCTCCAAACTAAGTATAGTTACACTATTTTCACTTATATTGGAAGTAAAAACAAAAAAAAACCAAACAAACAAAAAAAACTTTTGCTGAACCCCACACCTGAAGGCTCCATTTTTCCGGGCAAAATAATTAATACTTGTGGGAGGCCTCAACTAGCGGTATGCAAGTTTGGGTGATGCTTTCTCTCCTCCTCTATTCATCGTATTTCCATTGATTCCTGGGAACACTGATGCTTCTTATCAGCAAATTTGGGCTGGCCATCCTGAAGAATTGTTTTTTTAAAATCTGCAGGCCTTAGGCACCATTACTTTTGAGACCTCTCTCTTTATATCCTGTCCAATTAATATTAAACTTTACAAATACCACACTTTAAATAGTTTTGCTGAACATCTTTAAAATGATTTTTATTGACTAGGATCGTGTTAAATATAAATCATTTTACTTTGTGATATACATTTTATCACAAAGTTGAGTTACACTTTATTAGTTCATCATATATTGACTTAAGTGTAATTTAAAATTGTTTTTTAACATTCATAATTGAAAGAGTATATTTTGTATTATGTTTATTGTGCAGTGTCACACACATGCATGTCTGTCTGTGTTTACATCTCAAAAAAGAATTTTGAATGTTTTTGCAAAGCTTACAAACTTTGGATACTGTGTTTATAATACCCAGTGTTTAAAATCCCATCTCCAGGCCCAAGATTGATAACGTCATCCTCAACTATTCTACAATGACTGCCTACAATAACTGCAAACACGAGACCAACCCAACTTGCCCAGTAACTCATATCTCATTTACCTTTTTAAGCATGAATGCAAGAACACGATTCTTAATACTTTTTTCCTCAGCTATCTTGAGTATTCTCGAAGGTACTTTGCAAAACTATCCATTCCTGCTCTCCCTCAATATTACCTTCATTTTTTTCCTAGCTGCAAGTTTTTCTTCTTCTAAGTATAACACGCTGCCATTTCATTCTGTTTATCTGGAAACTTCTCACTCACCAGATCGCTTTATCTATAAAATTCCTATATATTTCTTTTAAAAACTAAGTTCTCATTCTGTGATAAAGGTAATATCAAATCAAACTAGAAACTGCAGAATATAAGAAACAATGTTATCTGTATGTCTATTTTAAATCATTAATATTTTGGTGTATCTTTATATATTTTTGCATTTAATGTATATAACCAACCTGTTACTACTTTTTAAATCGTTTTTTCTGATTATAAAGGTAACAATTAGTCACCACAAACATTGGGGAAAATTTCAGTACATTGATTTTTAATGAAAACACCCAGGATTCCCTTACAACTACTGTTAACATTTTTTCTAAATGTCCTTATGGTGTCTTGTAATGATTTCAACACCTGTATACACTTAGAAAATTTCTATCAAAATTCAGAATAACATTTTTTTCTTGTTTTTTTGTTTTTAATTCTAAGTTCTGACCTGTAAACTAAAAGGCACCAGTTACATCTGAGGCAAAAAATACCAAAATGAAGAGAGGAGGAATGATCGAATATTATACACTGGATACTGAGTCACCAAAATTATGTTTTTCTATTTCACCCTTCAGGCAAGAAATTAAATGTGCCTTGAGGCATTTGACTAATTTGATCAGAAACCTAATGATAAATGAAAAGGGAGCTCCCTATTTTGATGTCTAGTTAGAATACCAAGTAGTGATGTTAGCAGCTTATCATTGCTTTCCTCATGTCCAGAGTTTCCAATCAGATTTAATTTCTGAGAACAGATAACAAAGGTAACCTGTGGCTATGGCAGCATGTAGGAAGTCCTGAAAAAGTTGAGCAGTATCTCTACAAAATCAAGTATGAAACTGAACACAATGGTCAAAAACAACCCTTCTCCAGGGTGTGGAAATTGACCAGAATAATTCATAAGTATTTATTCATGAAAATTTGCTAGTAATTTGGGTAAGAAAACTAGGAGGCTGCAGGGGTTATTGTCTACAGCTGCTACCATCTCCCATATTCCAGCCCATCAGAAAGCAGTTTTATCAGAAAAGTTTACCATGAAAACCAGCAACATCTGTGCCACAGGTGGTCGACCTGATTTTAAAAAGAGGGAAACAAATTCATGCCTGGTGTCAGTTTTAAACAAGTAGTAAAGATAGTAAGAAATGAATGTAAAAACATACCTCTCTCCTATCCTAGACCTGAGTTTATAATCCCAGGTCTAGTGGGCTGTGGTTTCACCAAATATTTAACCAAGAGATCCTGAAAATAAGAGAACCAGAGGAGGGCTAGATAACCTTTCTAAGTAGCTCTTCCTGGCTGGGAAACTTTGGGCATGTATGAGGAAGAACTGAGAATGCCTGGAGGAAAGTAAAAGCCAAGGCAAACTTAAGACCTGGGTGGACTTTGAATGTATGGCAAACACACAGAATAATTCTAAAAATCCAGGCTAGAAAATAAAAATAAGATTTTGCAACACTGAGCAGAGTTATCAGTGACTACCCACATCAAAGGAGACATTCAGTCAACAAGTCTTGGGAAGAACAAGAAATAAGAATCACGTAAAATAATTCCTAAAAAACACACTATATTATGTAAAATATCCAGTTTTCAACAGCAGCAACAAAAAACCAAGAAACATGCAAAGGAACACAGAATTATGACCAATAATCAGAATAAAATGTTATCAGTAGAAACCGACAAAGCAGGCTAAAATAGATCGAACTGGAAAACATTTGAATCAACTCTTATAAGTATATTCAAGGGGTTGAAGAATCTATATCTGAGAATTTAAAAATAATGGTGAATATACACGTGGGACAATATTGACCCTTACAAGTATTCAAACACACAAATTAACACAAAGTACCATATTTTTCAATTAACGAGTCAATTTATATGACTTTTAAATATAATTTCTAAGCCAAGTGTAGTGAATTACGTGCTCTCATCCTTTCATTCCAACACTGGACAAATACCTTTTTTACCACCTACAATGTGCCAAGCACTGTATTTGTTTCTGAGCAAATAGCAGTAGAGAAAACTCCCTGCCTTATGGATGTTACATTCTAATAAACATAATAAGACATTTTTTAAAATATTGTAATGATTCAGCAAACAAGGAACCTCAAAAAATTAAACAGAACTTATAAAAAAGTGAGACATACATTTTGGAACTAAAAATTACAATAGCCAACATGAAAAATTCACAAGATAAACTCAACCACAGATTTGAAATGGAAGTAAAAAAAAAAATGTGTGCAGTAAAAGATGAGACAATACCTCTGGTTACAGGTCCTGCATGTAATCGGCTTGAAAGTCATTACTTCTCTTCTTACAATATGAAATATCTTGGCAAACCTCAAATTAATGATTTTTCTTGGGTTTATCAATGAAGAATTTGTCTGCAGGGCCAAGAGCCAAACTGAAACCTAGGGAGACAAACTCAGATTGGCACACCTGAGGTCTATTTATACTGAGCAGAAGCTGACAGCTGCTGCCATTTTCTCCCAGCCCCAAGACACCAGTGGGAATACATATTGATAATATAAGCAAATTGCTAAAAGCTGAGTGTGGACTAGTGTGAGAATGAAGAACTCCTGTGGCCCACAGTATTGAGGCATCTGTTATTTTGTAGGAACACAACGGTTCTCACAATAAAAAGCTAGGAAAGGTCGCCTCGTGGCTCTAACTAGGATTGAGGAACAGTATCCCTTATAAAATTCTCCACAACATTCTTTATAACAAAGGCCTACCCTACAGGGAAAGAGACTCTACCAGAAATTATCCCATCTGGGGAAAGAGAATTTTTGTCAGGGCAAGGTCCTGTGGCCTTCTAATCTCACATAACGTAGTGTTAGAAAAACATGGGCGTACCTTATTTTATTGTACTTTGCTTTATCGTGTTTCACAAGTATTGAATTTTTTTTCTTACAAATTTAAGGCAAGGCCTTCCACCAGAAAAAAGATTCTGACTCACTTTATTGTGACACTAGCTTTATTACTCTGATCTGGAACAGAACACTCAGTGTACCCAAGGTATGCCTGTCCTCGTGAACGTCACAGGCCAGAGAACACTTTCGATGGGCTCTTAGGAGAAACAGCTAATTCTAGTCCTGGGAAAATGAGGTAGATGTGCCTAAAACATCTTGAGGTGCCAGAAAGTAAGGAATTGCTCAACAAATACCCCCAACCCCTCCCTCACCCCCCAAACCTCACAATGTCAACAGCACACAGGAAGCAACTGAAAGAGCTCACACTGACCAAAGATGGAACCATCCAAACGAAAAAATAAATAAAGTAGTATTAGATTATAACCCAAAGTATAAAATAGATATCGATGACCCCCTGGCTCCCAACTAATATAGGTAAATAAGTGAGTAAAAAAATGGGGCAGAAGTGACAAATCTGTGCAGAAGAATTCCAAATAACTTCTGTAGATACTTCTCCCTCAAGGAGGCAAATCATAGATCACAACTCCTTTGGTTTATGTATAGTGGATTCCTTCCAAAGAATATATATGGAAAGGCAGAGAAAGAGTAATTTTACAGCACAATCTGCCAGGTGGTCAAGTTTCACATCAACCATCAAATGTCATGTTGATAGTCTGTACCTTTGATATAATAAAAATGGCATTTTAGCTCTGTGTCTTCCTCTCAAAAACACATAAACACAATACAATTATGAGAAAAATCATCAGACAAATCCCAATAGAGGGAAACTTTTAAAAGTACCTGAGCAGAACTCCTCAAAACAATCAGGTCACAGCCCCAAGGCACCTAAGGAGACATGAAGAGTGAATGTAATGGGTACTCATGAATGGGACTAGGAAAAGGACATTAGACAAAATTTAACAAAATCTCCAAAATGTATGTAGTTCAGTTAATAATTATGTCAACATTGCTTCATTAATTCTAACAATTTTACCTGTACTGAAGCAAGATTTAATAATAGTGAAAACTGTACTATCCTCACAATTTTCACCTAGCAAACACCACATCATGCAAGTGGTAAAGGTTAGCATCATAAATAAGAAGACTTACCAACATCATGTGCTCTCAGACATGATCTATTTAGGGAATCCTCATTTCTATGGTATTTTGGTAAAAAAATAACCTCAATCAAATGTTGAGAAAAATTAGACAAACCCAATTGAGAGACCTGTGTTAAAATAATGACTCTTCAAAAATGGTAATACCATGAAAAACTGGGGAATGTGACTACTTCTGACCTGGATGTCTAATCCATAAGAGCCTTAGTTCATAGACCTGTATTCTAAGCATGGGCGTGGATTCAGAATATTTGTCATTGGATGAATGCAGATGTTATAGCCTTGAGAATAGGGCAACTCAACAAGGTATTGTCCCCATGCTAACTGCTTAGCTGAGTCTTTAACAATATATTCCAAATGTTCTATTTGGCTGCATCAAGGAGATGCCTTAACTAGAAAAATCAGTGGATTTCATACAATTGCCTTGAACTGACCCCTTGCAAAATCATTGTAATAAATCAGCTATTCTGTAAGATGATGGTTTGGATGGTGGTGAAGCCAGTCTCATTGTAGGCAGAAATGGCAAATCCAGTAGAGTTATCAATCCAGTAAAGACTAATTATAGACAATTTCAGAGTGGAAAGGTCTGATGTAATCCTCTCACCACTAAGTGGCCAACTGGTCATCTTAAGGCATGGTACCATTCATGGTCTTATCACCAGCCTCTGTTCCTGATAGGTTGGACAAGCAGCAGCACAAGGAGCCATACAACCTCAGTGAGAAGGAAATGTTGTTGAGTCCATTCATAGCTTCCATCACTGACTCTATTCTTGGTTCTATCATGCAAGTACTGATGTAGATACTCTAAAAATCAAACTTGACATATATTTTTACATTTCTGATAAAATTGCTATCAAAATACTGATATTATTTAATTATTTTAATATAAAATATCTTTCCAAATAAAATATATATTTTATGGCTTAATATCAGAAATGTATTTTTTGTTGACAGAAATTTTCCTTTATTCGATATTGAGTAGGATGTAATGATTATATTGCATTGATTTATTCTAGGAGGTTCAGGGCTAAATTTAGTCATCAAATATAGTAACTAATATTTACTTAGGTTTTCTATACCTTCATACAATTTATTACATGAATGTTGGTTATTCACTAACCTTTTTCTTTCTTTCTTTCTTTCTTTCTTTCTTTCTTTCTTTCTTTCTTTCTTTCTTTCTTTCTTTCTTTCTTTCTTTCTTTTTTATTGCATGCACAGAGAGACAGTGAGATATATTGGGTTGTCAGAAACATCATGACGCCATTTTGCAATGAAAAACATAGAAAAAATATGGCATGACTTTTCTGACAACCCAATAGAATAAACAGTACTAAAGTGAGTTGAAATATTGAAAATTGAGAGAAGTCTAACCATGTAATAATTATTTACAAGTCTCTCATCTCTGTGTAACCTAGAATAATAAAATATATACAAGGCACTTTAGAGAGTGAAATAAAATACCGTAATCCTTTTTATATAAGCTATTAAAAATTAAGAGAGTTATATCCTAAATGCAGAAATTCAAAACCCTATGTGCATTTGACTTTGCATTATTATATAGAAATTTATGAAAAAAACATTATATAATTGGTCAAACATGAAAATGACTTACTTTATAAATTGCCATTAAAATAATTGTATTTTAAATATATATGTCAAAAGGTTAAACAGTTACTAAACATAATTGTAATATTAGATATAAACAAAACCATACAAATGAAAACAAAAAGCATATGAATTAATCACCCTCACTTTCCAGTAAGGTGAGATTTCTGCAAACACTGCAACAATTATGTCTTTTAGAACGGCTATTCTAACGTACGATTCTAATTTACATTTTTAATTTATACTTTGTCTAATAACACTATTATAAAGGTATTCAAACAGCAATTGAAAATAACTAAATTAATATATCAATCAATAGAAAAAAACAAAAGTTTAATATAATAGTAAATTTTATTATTCTTATTATTGGCTAATACATAATCTAAGATGATATAAAATTATACTCCTCCAGCTTCAGTCAAAATCATGTAACTAAGGATTACAAAATGTAACATAGATCATTATTGTTTTGATATAGCTAATGAATTGAAATAAAAATTAATTATACTCAGAAATTATACTCAGAAATTATGGTAATAGATTTTCAGAGCTATTTTCAGACTCTAAAACTTTCAGCTTCCAAATAATATTGAACTATGCTGCTCTTTAAAAATGTAATGGCCACATTTCAGCAAACTGCATATTTTTAATCTTGAACAGAAAATAATTAAATATAAGTTGAACAGTGAGCAACTTGTGACTAAAAATATTTATTTAGAAGTGGTATGTAAGCTTATGAGGCTTATACAAAGAATATAGAAGTACTGTGAATTAAAAAGAAATTTGAACTATGCTTGACTTATTTTATGAGGGTTAACAAATACAGAGAGGAAAAATAGAAAAATACTCAACACAGCACCAATATAGATGAGTTTCACTCTGTTCTATGGAATCTAGCAATGAAATATTGGGTTTTACTATTTTAAATATAAGTGTGGTAATAACTAAATATAGCAAATATGAAAGGAATTATTGTCCAAAAGCCATTTGGTCTCAGCTTCTGAGCATGATCACATCAGCATGCTTACAAAAATTTTCAGTTTTGAAGATACAATAATTAATGAAATGAATTATCAAGTTGAAAATTACATTACTTCCTCAGAAGTATATTTTAACAAATAGGATCTTAGAACTATCAGAGCAATAAATTGCCTTAGATAATTTTAATCAAATTTTAATAACATTTAAATAAAAATCAAATCATGCTAATTATATTTCTGTCAAAGAAAGCATGACATATGATTGCTTGAATAAGTTCATAGTTTGGAAAGCTTTATGTGTTGCATAAGTACCTACCTGAAAAATAAAAGCCTATATTCAACCATTTAAAAATATTTTATTGAGTCCATTCATTCTTAATTGCTGTATCTTCGTTTCCAGAGTTCTCAGTTTCCCAAGGGTAAATGGATTAAACTATTAATGACTAACATATCAATAACTAACATTTCTGTCAGATAAATCAACAGGGGTAATAAATGATTTAATGCTTCAATGCATGCAGTTATACAAATACTTAGTCATGTTCTGTCATAAATAATGTCACAGTTGATCAAAAAAATCTGAAGTTAACATTGTCTCTCTTAATTATAATAAGTTCACTTCTGGTATCCTTTTGAATTCATGCATAACATTTACATTATCTTTTGGGGCATCCCAGAAAACCAAATTTGTTAGGAATATTTCTGTATTCTCTTGAATCTAGCTGAGCTTCTTTAAAATCATTGAGTCCTTTTTCAGGTAATTCCCAGGTCTCCATTATTTGAGGTCATGACTGACGTGTTCTTTTGTTCTTTTTTTTTTAGTGTCATGCTTCCTTGCTTTCATGTTTTTAATGGCTTTCCACTGATGTCTGTAATTTGAGGGAGCAGTCCCATCTTCCAGCCTTATCTGACTGGTTTTTATGGGGGAAGGTTTTCACTGGGATGTGGCTGCGAGGATACTGGCTGGGGTGCAGTGCTGGTTCTTGGGATGGCACATTGGCATAGTAGCCATGCAGCCCTGTCAGCTGAGGTTAATTATGGTGAAGGCTGCAGGAGGAATCTTCTGTGGCAGAGACTGTGGAGGTCTGGTGTGTGGCAGTGGTGGCTAGTGCTATTAGGGTCCACAGAGGCAAATGCTGCTGGGGTCCTCCTGTTCTTTTTTTGCTTTGGGGAGTAAGGTGAATTCCTCTTGGTGCCAGGGCTGGTGGACCTGCAGTCAGAGTGGCAGCAGAGTTGGGATCCTGGGAATAGGTGCACGTAAACTATCACAGTCCCTAGGTCCTTGGGAAGAGATGTACTTGCTGCAGCAGTGGCACTTGGGTCAAAAGCGTGAGCATGCGCGGGTCTCCTTGGGACCTAGGTTAGCGTCTCTGGGACTCTCCACAGTGACTGGTCTGACAGAGGGATGCAGCGGTATTCTGGGCTAGGTCATGACAGGGTGTAGGAGTGGCTTGCTCCCAGGGGTGGGGGGTGGGGGAGGCAGGGAGCAGAAACAGCATGCCCTGGGGATGATAGTCTATATTCTAACTCAGCCCCCAGGGGCAGTTGCCCAGCACCACCTTCACATCCCCAGCAATGGGCTGTTAAGTTTGCATGTCAGGACCCATGGGGCAGGGTGCAGGGTAGCGGTTGCATAGCTCCAGTAACGATGGGTCAAGGCCCTGATCAGGGACCCTGAGGAAGGATACAGAGCAGCAGCCATGTGGACCTGGCCATGATGGATTAAAGCTGCAACCTGGGACCCAGGGGCAGGGTTTAGAGCAACAGCTTTAGTCCTGCAGCTGACAAGGTGCTGTGGCTTCCAGATTCCCAAAGAGAGACACAGCAGTTCCTAGGGGTCTGGGGCGCAGGTCTCACTGCAGTGACAACTTCATCCTTAGCAAGTGGGGGAGAGGGAATGCAGCAGTGAGTACCCCTGGCTGCTCAGCCTGCTGTCATTAGGACTGGAGATGACTGTGGGAGTCTTGGGGCAGCGAAGGCTGCAAACATCCACAACAATGAGACTTGCTAGGGTTCTTCTGCTCTCTGTCCCTGCTGGGGTGAAATTCCTCCAATGGGGTCTCTCCTGGTGCCAAGCTGCTCTGAACTGGGGGATGGGGTAACATAGGTAAAATGCTTTCTCCACTTTTCTATGAGGCCATCC